GGCAATAACTGGGAAGAAGAGGAGGCAAATAAGTTTCTCTTCTTTTTCTGCACGCAAGTTAGCTGAGTTCATGATGTTTGGCATCATGATTATAACACATCTACTAATCGGATATATTTTTCACTGGATTCCCTAATGTCATTCAGCCTCAGCCAATTTGTTTTTCTCTCGCTATCACACAACCAGTTTTTATAGGTCATTCCTTCAATATGAAGCATCTTTCACCTTAAAACTGTCTGTGTGTATTCTTTATTTGCTGCAATCCTGGATTTAAAGCTCATTTTCTGCAAGAATGCTTCTATGATTAAGTTTGCCCCATTCTAATAACCTCCCGGTTTGACACCTTTAATAATTACGTTAAATCAGTAATAATTTGCACTAATTGCATACGTACACTGTTTCAGGCACTGTCCTAGGAACCTCAGTGCACTGTTCCATTTACTCCTTTGTCAAGTCCTTTGTCTGTGCTCTTTTACAGATGAGGAAACTAAGGCACGGAATGGTGACGTACCTTGCCCAAGACACACAGCTAGAGAGTCATGAATCTATCCGAACCTGCCCAGTCTGACCCCAGGACCCACAGTCTTAGTAGCGAAGTAATTTGCACCCTGTCTTCTTTTACAAGGTGTGATATTTCATAATAAGGCTCGTGTCAGTTCATGTATCAGTGTTATATATAACACCAACTGACGTTTTTGAGGAAAAGAAGCCTGAGTGTCCCTCTTTACATCATTAAATGTAATGTGAGGGTCTGTTCATAGCAAGCCTTTAATAAAATGTTCCTTAAACTCGGCAGGTAAGTGACTAGCACAAGACATGTTTCCTGACTCGCTTACCAATTATCTACGCCAGAGGCTTCTCCTGGGCAAAGTGAGACCCAAGCACCATCTCTTCTGTAAAACCGACTCTGCTGTCAGAGAACAGGGCCACTGTGTGAAGAGCTGAGGTCATCCTGTACTGTCCTGTGATCACTCCGTCCTCCCAAAAGTCCTTCTGAAGTGAGTTTATGACGGAATCAACCGGCGGATGATAATAATCCTGGAAATAAACAAATGAATCGCCATTTTAACCTACAAAACAAGTGAGTGTTTTACTTGGCAAGCAGCCAAGAATTGTATCCATTACACACAATTTGCCACAAATTTCCTTGTCTGAAAGAATCAATGCCAGTTTTGCGTATTGTGAGAATTACCAGGAATGCAGGCTTTGGAACTCATCATGCAAAGGAAGGCATGAGGTGTGGGAAAATGAGCTCCACCTGACTCCAATAAAATATGCATGTAATAATTTACTGTGAAATATATTTACATGGAATGCACTTTAACCTATTTTTAATGTCTGTCAAAAATTACATCAAGCATGGGATTAATTTGTATGCTATATAAAATCTTTTATATTAGACTAGAGGCCCAGGGCACGAATTCGTGCACAGGTGGGGTCCAGCTGGCTGCTCAGATCAGGGCCAATGGCGACAGGCCTGCTGCGGGAAGGGGACTCAGGAGGTTGGCTAGCCAGCCCTGCCCCGATCAGGATGACAAACTCCTTTATCTTTTTCTTATATGTGAAGTTCTTTATCTGGCCTTCAATTCTACAATAAATGAGCTTTGCTGAGTAGAGAAGGGCGTGGCAAGAAATATTCAAAATGACAAAAGAGCAAGGATCTGCAGCCAGCGTGACCTTCCTTTTGAAAGGATGTGTCTGCTCCAGGCAGAGGGCTCGGTCTCCATGAAACCAAGGTCAGTCTTTGCATCAGGCGAGTGGAATCGCTGAGGCCTTTTTGAGAGTCGCCAAGGCTGGGAGCGTGATCTCAGAACAGTTAAAAGCACATTCGTGAAGGGATGTTATGGGTTCTCATCAAAAAGCCCACATATGACTGGAGACAGGGAAGCACCGATCAGACTGTCAAACCTCAGAGGGAAGGTAGGGGAGGGAAGGGGTAAGGAGAAGAGATCAACCAAAGGACTTGTATGCATGCAGATAAGCCTAACCAATGGACATAGACAACAGGGGCCTGGGGGCATGGGTGAGGAGGGGTTTGAGATGGGAATGGGAGGATGAGGACAAGTATGTGTGATACCTTAATCAACAAAGAAAATTTTTTAAAAAGCCCACGTGTGTCTGTGCTACACCGGTGGGGTTGCTTTAACACTGAAGCCTCCATCCACAAGCCCACCCGCCTCCAGCAGCTGGTGGGAGGTTGAAAGTGGCCATGTAGATGAGGCCAGTGCCAGGCACTCTCTCACAATCCGGGATGCCTCAGGGGGATGTCTGAGGCCCAGTGCATAGATTCATCCCAATCCCCATAGGCCAGGCTGGGGGACCCACCAGTGCATAAATTCATGCACTGGGCCAGTTTCAGCCCGATCCCCCAGGCCTGGCCAAGGGGCCCTACCAGTGCACAAATCTGTTCATCGGGCCTCTAGTCTATATGTAAAAGGCTAATATGCTACGTCTGACCACCCAACTGGTCGCTATAATGCACACTTGACCACCAGGGGGCAGATGCTCAAAGCAGGATCTGTGGATCTCAGTGACTTGGCAGCGGCAGTTCTCAGGTGATGCGCCCTGTAAACCAGAGGGGAGGGAGCCTGATTCCTTATGGGACTGTGCAATTCCACCTTTGGCTGTAGGTGATGTTGTTGCTGGGGCACAGTCAGCCCCAAATCTGGTTTACTGCACACTTGCATTTGCATTCCACACCCTGTATGAAAGCAACTTTACAGAGTGCCCTCTCGGGGACCTCCAGGACCACTCACACTCCGGGACCCCTCAGGAGGATGTCAGAGAGCCTAGTTCAGCCCATTCTCTGCAGGCCAGGCCTCGGGACCCCACCTGCCAGATGGACCCTGCTCACTCTGCAGGTGCAGGGGAGGGACCATGGGAGGTTGGCTCCAGGGCATGCTGGGCCCTCTTGCCCAGTCCTGCCCCTCAGCCACCTTCTGATTAATTTCCTTTCAATGTGCATGAATCTGTGCACTGGGTCACTAGTAAACCATAAAAGACATACACAAACTCCATTTCCTGTTTATCAGTTATTGAGAAGCTTAGTCCCATGGGTTTAATATCAATTTTGATGCAGAGGAAATGCCTTCCATCAAGTCCTAGATGTATCCTCCTTTGAGCTCATGGACCTAACTGCTCGTACTCCTCATCCTATAACACACACACACACACACATACACACACACACACACACACACACACACAATATCTTTATGGTCCCATCTTTAGTGTAGTTTCTTCCATCAAAAAAGATAATCATCCCATTTATTGAGCATCTATTGTATGGCTGCTGCTGCATCTTCACCACCTCACCAAATCCTCAAAACAAGCCTAACTGGCCCTAGCTGGTTTGGCTCAGTGGATAGAGCTTTGGCCTGTGGACTAAAAGATCCCAGGTCCCATTCCAGCCAAGGGTAAATGCCTGGGTTGTGTGATCGATCCTCAGGGTGGAGTGTGCAGGAGGCAGCCAGTCAATGATTCTCTCTCATCATTGATGTTTCTATCTCTCCCTTCATCTCTGAAATCAATAAAAATAATAATTAATAAATAAACTGTGAAAAATATATTTTTTTAAATAAGCCTAACTGTGTGCTAAATGATTATTAGCCTTCTATCACAGAAGAAGAAACAGGATTAGAGAAATTAAGGAACTTGATCAAGTACCAGAGTTGGAATAAAGAGAGAAAAAGAGAAGTCAAAAATAATACTTCTCATTTTAATAATATTTTGCTGTTTACATAACATATTTCCATTCCTTATTTCTTTGCATCCTAAAAATAATTATTTTATCAATGGGAAATAATTCTTCAGAAGCAGCCTCTTGGATAACACTATTTGAAGCTTCTCGGCCTACGCTTAGATATGAAGACATACTTCTTCCATAATGCCAGCTTCCTCCAAGTTCTCTATAATTAACAAGATCCCTACTTCCCTAACGAGGGTACTGACTCATCCCTTTTTAAGAAACCAACCTTAAATTCTTAACCCTCTCACATCAGAAATCACACCTTAGAAAGACATGAGCATCAGAGAAATAACAAAAGCGGCTGAAGTTCAATTCACATCCAAGACATTCCTATTTGCTCATAGAAAAAACACCCATCCTTGATGATGTTAGCCTCTTATGCAATTCCAGTACCTGAAAATGGGTCTATCTAGAGAGCAAACTGAGAGTTGTGCTTGTGGGCTTGATTGGGTCATGGAGAATGTTCTGATTTATTCCTCTCTCCCCTCCCCAATTCCCTCTTCCCCACCCCCCTCCCCCACCCCCTCCTCAGCCCCCTCACACCCCCGGCCAAAGAACATGTGTCAAAGGTTTTCCTGAAGTGATTCTTTCTGAGGGTCTAGTTGAAATTTCTTAAAAGAGGTAATTTAGATATATCTAATGTTATATCCAGGAAATTCATAGTGGGGAGGAAGAAGAATCATAACATGATTTACCTAATATTTTTATCCTCTCTTTCAAGCCCAGAAAGTTATTTTAGTATTTCCTTCTAGACTGTGTATTTGTTGAGGGAATGGGGGGGGGGGGGGGGGAGTTAGTTTTACCACAACAAACATGAGGGTGGAAGTCTTGAGAATGCTGGCACAAGGTTTCCAGTTTAATCTGCAGATAAAACCCTGCATAAAACAGATAATGGTTTATTTTGAACCCATTTTACATGCACTTCCCCCCTGACTCACCAAAATTATTATCTTCAGAGTTTATGTCCATTATTTCCTCACTATCTTCCCTGCAATCAAGTTCTCTGGATAAATACAGGGGTTGAGTTACAATTAAAAATAATGAGACTCTACCAGACCAATGTCCTTGCATGTAGTAAAAAGGTGTGGGCTAGAGTTTGGTATGTTTTTTTCCCCTCATTTTGCTTCACTTTGATTGGTGGGTTGACACTTTAAATAAAGATTTCAGGTCTACCCTGATGAGAGATACAGAGCGAGTCCCAGGCACATACAGTCCAGAAAAAAAAACAAATAACTAATCTTCTTTTCTTAGAACTATCTTGGTTGGCATCACCAGGCCCTGAGAACACAGTGCAGGCCAGCATTGAAGGTAAAATGTGATTTTATGATTTCCTTGTGATTCCTATCTTTCTTCCTATCTGCAGGCAGCTTTTATAAAGAGGATTTATCTTCATTTGTCACCAGAATAATAACTTATTGTAAACCATTAGCAAGTTTCAGAGAAGATATATCTAATAACCTTCCAGCTTAAAAAAAATAAAATAAAATAAAAAAGACTTGCATGTACCAGGGGGCAGAGGAGGCCAGGGGGAGGTCAAAGGGGGAAAGGAGACATGAGTACTATTTATAATACTTGAACAATAAAATAAAAATTAAAAAAAAAAGAAATTCAGGATGGGACAGAACTGCATTTAATATGCATAACACTTTGAGTGATATGGATATTTTAACAACATTAAATTTTTAAATCCATATGTAAAAAATAAGTAAGTAAATAAAAATATATATACTATTTCATAAAATGAATTTTTGTAAAACACACATTTGCTAATTGTAATAATGTGCTAAGATGGGTGATGGTGCATAAAATCTAAATGTATCTCTTATATTTAATAAACATTTTATACTGAGGGGGGAAAAAGACTTATTAATGAGGTGGGGGTTTTTTTTTTTGGTTTTTGGTGTGTTTTTTTTTACTGTTTGTGATTATTAGTGACATTGCCTAATTTATAAAAGTATAAGAAGAAGAACAGATCTCTTGGCTAGACAGACTTTTGTTCATATAAGGGTAAGAGCCTTTTGAACTGATAAAATCATTTTAAAGAGATCATTTATTTTAGAAAAAGAAAAACTCAATTTTTAGAAATATTTTCCATTAACATTTTAGAAAGTTAACTATTAAGTTCGTTCTAATTTTAAAAATGTAAGTTTGGTTATGTGGGCATCCTAGACATAGAATGATTTGCCTTATAAATCTGTAAATAAAGGTCTGTTATGAAATTATTATTGTCTGTATTACATTTTCAATGAATTTAAAGTTTGCTCTGGAAGGAAAAAAATATAACTTCCTGTGGAAGATACTGAATAGACCAAAATTTCACATAGTAGCAGGGATTTTCCAGTTCATATTTTACAAAATGAAACACAGAAGTTAAAGAATATGCATGAAGCTTGTTTCTACATGTTCATTTAGGTTGTAGCTACACACACACACACACACACACACACACACAGAAAGTTCTTGGATATTTTCTAATTGCTTGTCAATTCTTTACAAAAACTAGTAAGTACAAATCAGTTGTTCAGCAACATTTAGTTTTTTGTTGTTTTTGTTTTTGTTTCGAACCTGGTTGTTTTGGATAACCAGCGATTCAGCTCATTTGAGGTATTGTCTTTTAACCATTCTGGAGTAAAAATGTGTCTGATTTACTTCTCCTACCTAACTCTGTTTCAGATCCCCCCCTTCAAGATGAAGAACCTGATACTGGTCTTGTGCCTCCTGGAAACGAGTTCTGCAGTGCCGGTAAGTCTGAGTCTCCTAGTGTGCGTCCCAGCAGAGACACTGTTGGACCCCAAAGAACGCTGAAAAATGTGGGCTAAGAGTCCATTGACTCATTTGAATTAATCCAGTGTTATAACTCCTACCGAACCAAAGGTCATAGTTGCCCAGACATGAGCCTTACCATCCAAAAGCAATAAGTCAAATATATGATTTTTCTATTCAAAAGCTATTTAAAATATCTCAAAGACAATGTCTCAGTCTCCCTTCATTCACTCAAAGATAAGAGACTTACATTGTCTCCACAATGCCATGGCACAATTTTCTTATCAGCTACTTGTTACTATTATGAAATTGAAATAAAAAGAAATTTTATTTTAAAAAGTCAAATACGTTTTCTTCACTTAAGAACAATATTAACTTTATTGTTCTTTACTTAAGAACAATAAAAGAACAATATTAGCCAAATTACTATGGCTACAAAACTGAGCTAGTAATTTCATTTGAACCTAGTAATTAAACAATAAATTTGCCTTATAGAAAAGATATTGTGTGATCAAGAACTGAAGTTTCTTCAATCAAAACATGTCATGGCAATAGGGGGAATTGCATGCTACAGTCATACACCTGGTCCACTCTATCATATTTTGAGGTGATCTCATAAGAATACACGTCTTTCGAGCACTGAACTATTCCAGCCAATAGTATGTGATTCTGTTTTCACGAGCACTTTATTCAGCTGCTATCTGCTTTTGGCAAATGTTAACTAAGCACCTGCCATGTACCCAGCACTGTGCTGGACACTGAGACACAAAGGTAAACATGACATGGTCTCTTGTCTGGGGAGCTTATGGTCAGCCTCAAATGAACTTTAAAATATTTCAGTTCCTTGAGAAAGAAGGTTAGCTCTTTGGGTTTCTTAAAGTTAAACGTTTTTGAGAAAGGGGATGAAAACTGATCACAAGGACTCAAACCTCAAATCTACAAATAAAAAGTTTCTATTCTTTTGCTCAACAAGATTTTTAAATGAAAGAAAAAATTGAAGCTGCCATTCTAACTTACCTTTGTCTGATACTGACGTTGAGGTCGGACTCCATCATCGGTCTAAGACCTTGACACTATTCAAACCTATTCTATTCCACACCTACGACAGATCCACTTTGCATAGGATCAAGACAATTGTTTAGGATCACCAGCAGACTGCCTGCCAAATTACATGTTCTCCTTTCACTGCCACATGGGAAATGTGTCCCCTGTCTACTCACATTCATGTAATGATGGTCATTTAATTTATAACTTAGAGCTAGAACTTTTTATTTAAGAAAAAAATGATCCCCTTTTATATGATCCCCCAAATATAAACACAGATCAGCTGCTTTATACATAAAATTATCTCTCACTAAAGATGATGGAGGGTTTGTGGAAGCTGTTTGGATAGGAGGCAAGTTGGGTTTTGGCAGAGTTTTGCTGAGCATCTAGATCACACGCCACATCCCATGAACCAGAAGCATCTAGGTTTGTCAAACACACAAGAAAAATGACCTCAGGTTTGTTCCCTTTCCTCTTCTACATAACGCTTAAGAATAAAAGTTACTTTTACAGTATTTTTCTACTTTGTTGCTTTAATTTACTTATTATATCACTTTGAAACTAAATCAAATTTTGCTTTTAAAGCAACATAGCACTACGATGCAGACAAAGGATAGATAATTTCCACGGGGGCAAATTTGTAAAATAATATGATAATTCCCCGATCATTTAAATTATTCTTCTTTCCTCCCAAAAGTTCAAGTTATTTAGGTAATAAACCAAATGTTGGCCTCTTGACTGTCCTTTTTATCTTAAGGAAGTGGTTAAGGAAGTTTCTCATGGAAAAGAACTCAAAATTATTCTGTTTCCATATAGGTGTTTCCTCGGCAGCCGGGGACCCCGGGCGTGGCCAGTTTGAGCCTGGAGGTATGTACTGTCAGAGCACTGACCTTTCCTTTTCACGTTTGTTTGTTCCTGGGAGGGGAGAAAGGTGGTGGGCTGTTTCCGGTCTTCCCAGTCAGAAGGCAGTGGCCCTCCTCCTGTGTGGTTCTGGAGAAGCTTATGGCATCTAGGAGAGCCTTGTTTTATAATTTTACCTCACTTCCAATTCTCAGGTGCTTTACTTTTCATAACATCATCTGTATGTGAATCAAAACCATATTTTAACACCTGCTATATATACATTATTTAATACCCACAAAGATGCATTAACATAATCACTACATTAATATAATTACTACATTAATTCAAACACATTGGTCTGATGTCATAAATGGTTTCTATTTAGTTCCTTCTCCTTTTAGTACCTTATACTATAAAGTTCAGATGAAGGAAATTTACCTTAGAAAATTCAGTCATTTTTAAGAACTCCAGTAAATAACACTAACATTGTACCTGCCGCATAATCTGTGGTAGTCTCATTGCACTTCTCATAACTAATATATACTCTGTTTAGAAAATCCCAGCAAAATAGTACTGTTTGACCATATTAATAAAATATATCAACAGTTACAAGAAGAAAAATATTTATGAAATTTTAAATGTATCACAAGACCTTGCAATATTTATTCAGATTATAACAATCTGGGGGCAGTCAGTACCTATATTGGCTGAATGCCCATTTCATACGCAAGCTAATTTCACTGAGTTATTTTTTTCTCACTTTGCAGCTTAAATGTAACCAAAACATGCTAAACTTTTTTCTAATACATTGAAATTGACTTTCGGTTGAATTGCTGGTATTTTTAACAATCTCTCCAGATACCATTTTCTCAACGTCTTTTATATTTTTATTTTGAGGACTTTTTTGTTTGGGAAGGAGATGGAGATGGTCTTATTTTGTTTTGTTTGCTTGTTTTTTCCAGTTTCTCTTCAAGTAGAATTTTAAAAAGTCAAAATATGCTAAAAGAGTCAATGAAGTCCTGATAATTACATTTGTATTTTAATTGATTGAGCTATTTTTCCATATTTCAATGAGACCTCAGTTAAATGATGCTTTTTCTCTACTAATAATAGAAAACAAGCTAAATACTTTAATAGAAATAATAACAACAGTGGGGAAAAACACATTCAACATTTTCATTTTTCAGTGATAATTAATGTCTACATCTATTTTATTTAAATTGACCTACTCCAAACTTTATGTTAATGATATATGTTGAAAAATCCGTTGTGTCGTACAAAAAAGGGACATGTGTGGTAAACAGTAACACACTTTTTTTTCTTTACAGACAATGAGACAATTGGGCACCTTGCAGGGACTAAATATGCTTTCTCAGGTAAACTTATTTTAAAATATTTCTTATTGCAAAGACTGTATTAATGGTGGTGGTGGTAGGTGGTAGTGAGCAGCATTGTCATTTTTAGAATATATTTGTGAACAGGAGATATCCTAAATTTTGGAAGAACTAATGAATAACTGAAGTAACCTAAAACACAATAAGATTCTAAGATGGACTGGCAGGGGAAAATAAAACAACATTAAATTTTCTTTAGTAAAAAAAATTTTTTGCATTGTCAATTTTATTATGAGTACTTATAAAGCTAAATCTAAGACAAGTATTTGAGGATACTGCAGTCTGGCTTAGGATGGCTGTGAGTCTGTTGCAAGAGAGTGTTTGCCTATCCATGTTAAATTAAGTAATCTCAATCTTACTTTTGCTATCTCTACATTTTCTGTGGATCTTTTGGAAAACGAAAACCAAGTTTAAGCCAATATTGAAGTAGAAGTAAATTTCTCTCTATCTATCTTTTCTCCCCATGTCTTTAGTACTCAAGATTTGGCTTTGGGAAATCACTTAATTCTTTGTGGATGCACGGTCTCCTTCCACCACATTCCTCCTTCCCATGGCTGAGACCAAGGGAACATGGAACTCAACAGGTAAGTTAGTTACATCAATTATTTGAAACACCAAGTCTTAAATCTTCCCCTACTTACATTCTCTAGGTTGTCATATACTACCCACAGAGTAATAAACAAACATACTAGTAATTATCCAGACACCAAATACATCAAAACTTGTAACTAGTTTTAATATTTTGGAATATTTAAAATAAAATTGTCCAAATTTTCAACTCATTTGAACATTTATTTCTAACAGGAATATAGAGACTCCCAAATATGAGACCTATGTTAAAAATATCAGCAATAACAATAAAATATCCTCAAAATGGAAACAGGCTAAATCCTGGGCAATTCTCATTTTAATCAAGATTCCCCAAATAATTATTTAAAAGCACATTTAAACTGATGCCAAAGTCCTGGTTAAAACATCATGAACCTTACAGTAATCATATATCAGTTAACTTTAACCATTATTTGTTAGTGCCTAATATATAAATCAAATTGTAGTCTGCGAGTGAAAATGAAGATGTTTAAGAATGACTCTAAGGTTTATGGGATTTCAGATCAGATTGGGAAATAAGAGAAGACAACTTATTACAAGCTGCTAAATTGTGAGACATAAGTAATGAAGGAAGTATAAGGAACAAAAACTGTAATTGTTTAGAGATTGGCAATGGTTGTTCTGAGACCCATGTCACTTTGAGGAGCTGGCAATCACTTTAAAAATAACAGGGAGCCATTTACCACAGATAATTTTTTAATATATTTTTTTATTGATTTCAGAAAGGAAGGGAGAGGGAGAGAGAGAAACATCAATGATAAGAGACAATCATTGATTGGCTGCCTCCTGCACACCCCCTACTGGGGATCAAGCCCACAGCCTGGGCATGTGCCCTTGATTGGAATCGAATTCAGGACCCTTCAGTCCCCAGGCCAACGCTCTATCTGCTGAGCCAAACCGGTTTCGACCACAGATAATTTTTTTAATATCCACAAAACATGGTTGTTTTAACATGAACTTATAAGTCCAGATGGCCTCCCACAACAGGCAGCATTGCCCACCAAACTGTATTTAGTGGGACAGTCAGTTATGTTGATGGTGACTATTTCTCCTCTTGATTGTTTCCAAAATAGACTCTGTAGTGCAGAAATTTGATTGGTGTTTTGTTTAATTACTCTTTCTCCTTTCATTAACTCAAAACTGTACTAAGCATCTATCTTGTGCCAGGCACTTGTTAGGAGCTATATTAAGTCCTGGGCTATAAAAATAAATAAGACATACCCTCCCTCAGGTGACTAGGGACAAAGATTGGTAACAAAAGATTTGTAATCCAGTGAGAAAGGGGTAAAATAGAGATGCACAGGGACAGCTATGAGAAACTAGAGGAGAAAACGACTTGTTCTACAAGGACATTCACATAGCTTCCTCTCTTCATGAGCAGACTCTTCCAAGTAGAAAATTCCCAAGCAAAATATTTTGCTTTAGAAATTCTAGACACCACAGTTCAGTGAGCCATCGCATCCTGACACTCCTTTCAAATTTCTCTACAGTATGAATATTCTTTGCCTGTGCATCCCCCACCTCTCCCATCGCAGCCATCCCTGCAGCCTCAGCAGCCGGGACAGAAACCTTTCCACCAGCCCAGCGTGATCACCACCATCCAGGACACAATCCAGAAGGGAGGACCTCAGCCTCCGGTTTACCATGGACAGCCACCCTTGCAGCAGGCAGAGGGGCCAATGATTCAACAGCAGGTGGCACCATCAGAGAAGCCACCAAAAACTGAGGTAAATCCTTCCCCTGAAGGTAGATCAGGATCACCCACTAACTTAATGAAAAAGGGGGGGGGGGGGAACAATTTGAGAGCACATTTAAATATTCAGAGCTTCAGGGAATAATGCCTGAAGATACAAATATGGTTTTGAGCAGTTGATGTATCTGAGAGTAGAACGCAAATGTTAATTTCTGTCATTTGCCACCAGGGAAGGGGCATGGCTTCTTAAAGAGTCTGTCTCTCTAAAATGTGGTTTCTTAGCTGAAGAAATGTGAGCTTTTAGATAAAATAAGGAAGCCCAGAGAAGTCCAGGCTTCCCATCATCAGGGTCCTCTTCACTGTCGAAAGGACAGAGACGAGTGATGGATCCCTCAGCATGGCAATTAGTATGTTCCATTCTTATTTCTCTACCTGGTCGTAGAGAAGACAGCCATGGGAAAGCATCTCACAATGATGTAGAGGAAAGAGCGACGGACAGAAAAAGAAGGCACCATGTAACTGACATCTGCAGGCATTTAATATTCCCCATATCATCCTGACTATAGTCCTATAAAGATCAATATTACTATCTTTTTTAAAAGGAGAAGACAGACTTTGAGAGGTTATACAATTTTCCCAGGATACCTAAAAATTAAGTGCAGAGTCAGGATTCAAACCAACCTGATATGCTCCAATTCCAAAACTCATTGCTTCCCACTGTGCAAGACAAGGCCAATTCACCAGAGACACGCTGCCTCTCTGCCCGAGCACTTGAGTCGTGTCAGTAAAAGGCAATTGCAGTCTCTTAGTCTGTAAAAATCTGGGCACTTCTTTGAGACTGTTTTATCATATTCATAAGTAAGAGTGTGTTCGGTTTGTCTATTTTGATAGTTCAGTAATCTTACTATTTATCTGTGATGCAGCAACCAGGAATGGATTTTCAGCAACCAGGAATGGATTTTCAGCAACCAGGAATGGATTTTGCTGATCCACAAGGTCCATCCGTAAGTATACATCTCAATGAGACTTTTGTGGGGGGAAAATCTTTATTCTTTAAGAAAGAATAGTAAAAAATTTAAATTGCCCCATTTGTTATGAATATGAAGTACGAGTCCCTTTGTTTTCTTTAATATGAAATACTTCCTTGTCATATAAATACCTCTGCATCTCTGCCTGTGCACTTGAGTCATATCAGTAAAAGGCAATTGCAGTCTCTTAGTCTGTAGCTTCTGAGATTAACGAAAGCAAAAATTGGAAAACTTATTTGAGATTGTTTTATCATATTCGTAAATAAGAGTGTGTTCGGTTTGTCTGGTAATTGATGGTTTAGTAATGTTACTGTTTATCTGTGATGCAGCTACCAGGAATGGATTTTGCTGATCCACAAGGACCATCCGTAAGTACACATCTCAATGAGACTTTCTTGGAAAAATATCTCTATCCTTCCTTTAAGAAAGATGAATAAAAATTTTTAATTGCCCCATTTGTTAGGAATATGAATTATGAGTTCCTTTGTTTTCTTAAATATTAAGTATGTCATTGTCATATGAATGCATCTGCATCCTTGCCCTTGCACTGGAGTCGTGTCAATAAAAGACAATTGCAGTCTTAGTCTGTTACCCCAAGACTAATGAAAGTAAAAAATCTGAGCACTTCTTTGAGATTGTTTTATCATATTCATAAGTTCGGTTGTCTATTTTGATAGTTTAGTAATGTTACTGTTTATCTGTGATGCAGCTACCAGGAATAAATTTTGCTGATCCACAAGGTCCATCAGTAAGTATACATCTCAATGCGACTTTCTTGGGGGGAGAGGGGGAAATAGCTCTATCCTTTCTTTAAGAAAGAAGAGTAAAAAATTTAAATTGCCCCATTTGTTAGGAATATGAAGTATAAGTTCCTTTGTTTTCTTAAATATTAAATACTTTGTTGTCATATGCATATATCTGAAAATGTGTTTCACATAAGTGTTAGAAATGGCTATAAAGAAGGTTTGCCTATATTATAGCAAATCTGAATTACTTATCCTTTTCTCTACCACTTAAAGATATTCTCAATAGCCCGTTTGATATCTCAGGGACCGCTGGCCCAAAATAAACCATCTTCGGTAAGTTTTTTTAAATACCACTTTCATTTCAAAGATTCCCTGGGAAAATGCATTTAGTGATTATTATTGTATTTATATTCAGCTTTATCCAGGAATGTTTTACATGTCCTATGGAGCAAATCAATTGGTAAGTCTATATTTTATGAAAAGTATTATTTTTAATTAAATATCACTTTAATGCCCTAGCTGGTGTGCTCAGTGGATAGAGCGTCAGGCTGCAGACTGAAGGGTCTCAGGTTTGATTCCGGTCAAGGGCACATGTCCTCATTGCAGGCTCTATCCCAAGTAGGAGGCAACCAACCAATGATTCTCTCTCATCACTGATGTTTCTATCTCTCCCTCTCTTTTCTTCTTTGAAATCAATAAAAACACATATAAAATAAATAATAAATATTATAAATAAAAATAAATGCTACCTCAAGAGCTAAAATTATAAAATCCTGTCCTCACACAATAGATTCTATGTTCCCTGAAAGCCTAAATTAGCAACTGAAATGGCAAAGAGACACACTTTCTATTTGAATAATTCTGGACACACACAACACATTAAAGAAAATGTAAATTTGCTATCTGATCTGAATTTTCGAAATTGGTTACATTTCTTCAATTATCCTCATCTCTCCCACTTTACTCTGCCTCTGGACACATCATTAATATTGAGATTTAAGGAGGAACTAAATGACCTTTAATTTAGTATTGAGTTGCTACAATAGGGGTCAGCAGTGTTTCTTTTTTCACAGAATGCTCCTACCACACTTGGCATCATGAGCTCAGAAGAAATGGCGGTGAGTAATATCTTCAAACTCTCTTAAAATAATATGCAGGGAGAACAGTCACAGATGACTGGCTGCAAGAGGCATTGGCTGTGAATGCAGCCAAACAGACAGCATGTGACTCAGATTGTTCTACTCCAAAACCAAAGCTTGATCCTGAAGCAGTGTGCAAAGATTTCATCGTATTTCCCATACAGGCATTTCTGAGAGATGATGGCCTTTCTTGAGCCTAGGGTTCTGCTCCGTTTCTTGGCAATGAGGAGAGGAGAAATCTCTCTTGAAAAGACTTCAATGAAGGGCAAATGCTTCAAACCAAAAACAATACACACGGTTCACACAAAGCTCCTGTTCCTTCTCGGACCATTTAACCCCTCAAAACAAATTCAACAGCCCACAAATCATTTAGACCTCAAAACTGAGAGGTCAAAAAAGGGGGAGTGGGGGGGGGAGTAATCAAGCTTAAAATTTTATTACTATAAAATTGAAAAGACATTAATAAGTTAATTCAAGTATAGTCTTATTTTGTCATTATCCACTCATATAACAGCATTAACAAGTGAATCAATAGACTCACACAATTTGACTTTTTCCTTTGAAAATTTCTTGTTGCATCTGTTGGAGCACAAAGCAAAACAGAACCATACTGAATTAACAAATCATCAGCAACTACAGATCTTAACAAATTAATAAATACACCCATATGCTAACACTGAAAGAAAAATTGCATTTCAACATTGAGTGCCTTCTGAGAGCTAGATGCATCAAAAGATACCAGAGAGGCAACAGAAATGCCCTGTTCTCAAGGACTTTATCTCCCTGTCCGTTTTGTGTGGCTTCTCCGTGAATCTGACCAGATATAATAGCGTGGTATAGTAATAATAGGTGATGATGGTGTCTGTGGTAAATGTTTTTGTTTCTGTTTTTGTTTTGTTTTTTCCCCAGGGAGGCAGAGGAGGCCCCATGGCCTATGGAGCCATTTTCCCAGGATTTGGAGGCATGAGGCCAAGCCTTGGAGGGATGTCTCCCAATCTAGGCAAGGGTGGGGACTTTACTATGGAATTTGACTCCCCAGTCGCTGCAACCAAAGGCCCAGAGAAGGGAGAAGGACCTGTGCAAGGCTCCCCCTTGCCGGAGGCCAACCTAGCCAATCCAGAAAACCCAGCTCTCCTCCCAGAGGTAGCAATGCCTGGTGCCCTTGGAGGGCTTCTTGCTCTCCCAAAGGACAATCTTCCCAACCTGGTCAGGGGCCCTGCAGGGCACAGCAAGGGATCTCCCAGGGTTACCCCAGCAGCCGCTGACCCACTGATGACCCCTGGATTAGCGGATATTTATGAGCCCTACGCTGCTGATACGACCACACCCTTGGGAGAAACGACCTTGGATACCACAGTGACCCCAGACACAGAGCAAACATCGATGCCAGGAAACAATGTCCAGCAGCCCCATATTATGCACAACGGGTGGCATTTCCAAGAGCCCTGAGAGCCTTGTGATATCAGCTACGTTGTGTTTGCATAAGCTCCCCAGCTTTGAACCATGGCCTAACTTTTCCCTAAAACATGTTTGCCCTCTGCAGCAAACGCATATTAATAAACACAAGTGGTTAGAAATAGTGTAGGTTCCCTTCTTGCTTTCATTCTCTTGTTGAAATAAAAGGTGTCGACGGTCTCTGTGACTTAGAAATACTGTTGATCTCTGCATCTGAAAGTCACTGTTTCTTAGCTGTCTTAGGCATTTATAGGATGTCTCTTACTAGCGTGACACTGTTGTATCCAGAAAATGTGACACTGCTTTGGGTATCCTTCTCTAAGCAAAGGCACATATTCTTAGAATTGTAAGCATTCAAATGTTATTAAATGGGGATCAGTGGACAACCCCTAACTGGTATTACTGGGTTTGGTATGTTGGATTTTAAATTCTTAATTGTAGAGTATTTTTATTTAATCTAGTAAAAACATCTAGCCTATTTTAAATAAAGAATTTGTTCACTGAAAAGATCAAGAAGTATATGTTTATTATTTACATACTAGAGGCCCAGGGCACGAAATTTGTGCACTGGGGGTGGGAGGGCCCTCAGCCTGGCCTGTGCCCTCTTGCAGTCTGGGAGCCCTTGAGTGATAGCTGATTGATGGCTTAGGCTCGCTCCCGGGGGGAGGAGGGAGGGAGAGGGGGGGGGGTCTTAAGCAGGCAGACAGACATCCTTAGCCCTTAGCACTGTTATGGAGTTAGGAGAGGTTCCCCACACTGCCACTGGGCTTACCTGCTGTGAGCCCAGCTCAGGGCTTCTGGCTGAGTGGCACTCCCCCTGTGGGAGCGCACTGACCACCAGGGGGCAGCTCCTGCATTGAGCATCTGTTTCCTGGTAGTCAGTGTACAACACAGCAAATCCATCGATAAATTTGCATATTAGCCTTTTATTATATAGGATATTTAAATGGTTAAGAAAAGCATACTCATCCCCTACCTTTGCTGTCTTTAACCCATGTTATTCAATTCATTCTCACTCTTTCATAGAAATTGTATTGAGCACATATCCATGTCCTAGGTACTGTACTAGGCAACAGTAACATAGTCCCTTCCCTGAGAACTTACAATAGAGATTTTTGACAAGTAGACAGACAACCACAATAGCAAAAACAGCCCATATGGGCCAAGCTCAAGAACTTTACATATATTATCTCACAACACCATTGGAAAATAGATGCATTTCCAAACCCACCATACATGTGAAAAGTACTATGAAAAGGCCAAGTACCATGTGAGAATTGGCTCGACCCTGTGAAATAAAGCAAGGGAAAATAATCACTACTAGTCACCAAACTAGATATGTATCAGTGAAGACTATTTGCCCAAATTAAGAGTTTCCAAGGCCAGCTTTGGTCATCCCTGAAAAGTAGCCTCCTGCCCCATTCTGTCCACTTCCTCCCAAGTTGCCCAGCCCAGATCAGATTCCACAGAACTCAGACTCCCTTTCATCCTCTATAAATATCCTGGGGACCCAGGAAAAAAAACCCTGATCTGGGATACTTCAGGGGCCTCAGCAGAAGCATACAGCCACCACCTATTGTCTCTCTCTATCTTCAGGCAGAGCCCTGCTCACCCCTCTCTTGGGCTGGAGCTTAAAGAGACATGCAGGAGTTTAAAATGCTGTTTGCATCTCATAGTGACTGGCAAAGGTGCAAGGGTAAGAGAATGACCTACTCTGAGACCCCACTGAGACCCACCTTAGCACTCCATGCACTCCCCTAGAAAGCAGTCTGCTAAAAGACATACCGACAGATCTGGGCTGAAACCTTAACATCTAATCTCTAAGAGTCTGAGTCTTTGGAAGTGAGACTTAACCTCTCTGCTCCTGTGTCTTCAAATTTATGGTGGAGCTACAACCCAACCCACCTCACAAGGTCATTGTGAGAACAAAAGGAGATAAAGTACACAAATAAAACTGCTGAATCATAGTAGTTTTCCTTTTTTCATAACGATCCTTTTTGTAAAGACAATCTAGCAAAACAGCAGCAGTAACAATGGAAGAATGGAACTGTTCCCTTTATCAATGAACTTGTGCTTTCCTAGTCACATGCCACACACTGCCCTTCTGATCCTTCTTGGTAATTTGGAACATGCACTTGTGAGATCACACATGCTGGTTTCCTGATAAATGTTGTCATATCAAGGTCTCAAAGTTGGCTTCAGCTATTGGCAGGCCTGGCACTTAATAGCATTACTAGTTAGATCACCTTTGACAAGGAGAGATACCATGTTGTTGAGTCCTTAAATCACCTCTGTTCCTGTCTATCAATACACTTTAAATACTGATCCACACAGTAAACACTAATGTGGCTAGGGAAAGTGTCTAAATATCACCTAAGGAGTGGGAAGATCTTAATTATTGAGAATTTTTTTCATTGGGACATCCGTGTACCAGGCATTTACATGAGAAACAAATGTCTTCATATCATACGCCATTCTGAGAGATCTATACAAATAGCCTACTTTCTGGACCTCCTTATTACTAACCTATCGATTTTATTCTTTCAAAATCCCTGAATAGCTAACCACTGAGTCAGTGTAAATATTCACCTCAAGCTATCTCTCCTTCCACACAAAGTAGACAACCAGATGTGTCATTTAAAGTTCTGCCCACTGAGTGGGGTGTGGTACATTAACTGTCCACTTACAGTTAATGCCAGAATACCATACAGAAACCCATGAATCAGATGCACACTCTTTCCTCTCCATTAATTGATTAAAGGCAGAGCAGCCCTATAATTGATTTTCCAAATTGAGACACTTTTGCCAATGAAAAGTGGTGTTGTGAATGATAAATGAATGTTGAACAGGTATAAAACAGTGATACCTAAGGAAAAGCTGGCCATCTGATTATTCTAGCCATTCCCCATGAAGTCAAATGTGTAAAATGAGGGGAAGGCATCAAAGTTATAAAGAAGAAGTACATTAAAATCTGGACCTCTTGTTTGTGCAACTTACCAGAGCCTTCCAGACTGGTTTCATATGTATCATTTTAGCTTAAAATGCAATGTTTGTATTCAATTTTATGGCCCAGTGAATCATCTATCACCTAATTCAACATGGACAACTCAAACAGCATATCAGTTGACATGCCATAATCAGGCACACAGTCTGCATTAGGGTTCATTAGCAAGGCAAAAACTACCTCTCACAAAGAAAGCCTTAAGGTTCTGTGATGTTATTCTATCAGTGCTTGCCAGAGGTTCCATGCAGCCATAGATAGTTCCAGTATATTTTGGTCCCTGTGTCATAATGCCCAAGTGACAGGGAAGCATATGCTATAGTGCAACCCCCTTTTTTGCCCTAAGTCCTACTCAAAACTGTCAGCCTTTCAAATTATACAGTATGTAGTATATGTTGCATTCAAAACACAAAGAAGTCCAAAAGCACTGTGGTTCTCTCTTCTTATACCGCCTTTCCCTTTAGCTATCCTGATGTGTCCAGAGTACTAGCAACCCAATGAATTTTTGCACCATTTATCTTTCACCCTCTGGCTTGTTGTTTTGAAACCTACTGCATCTTTCTTCAGTGTAAGGGACCATTGTGGTCTCCTATAGAATATAAAGATGATCAAGGATCTTTAGGACAATATTAAAAACCACAGAAGAGGTTACACAATTCTGGGGCAAGATAGTTTAAGTTTGTGTTTGTCCTGATTTTTTTCTTACTGATTGGAACAGAAAGAAAGCATCTGCCAGTCCATAATCACATATTTGTTGCCATGGGCTATGCTGATTTGCTCCAATAAACTCACCACATTTAGAGCAACTACAACTGGAATCACCACCTTACTGAGTTTGCAGTAATCCATTGCAATTCCCCATGACCACCCAGCTTTTGTATCAGCTGAACAGTTGAGTTAAATGGGGACGTGATAGGACAACTTCCCAGTATTTTTCAAATCTTCAAAAGTGCTACTGAGTTCTACAATTCTTACAGGAGTTACCAACTTGTTGGGGGTGGAGAGAGTATACGGTTTCAGAGCTTCCTCCACTTGGTTCCTCCTACCAGATAGATTTCATTTTGCTGGTGCAGGAATCAAGGTGGGATTCTGCCAGATATTAGATATCTCTAGTTTCACTTATATCTGGAACTGGGGAAATAGATGCATCAGGCCCATTGTTACATAAATGTGAACCAAGATCACATCTCTCATCTGACTTCTGTAAGCTTTCACTGGTAAATAATGAAGGTTTTTCAAGTTCAAACCATGGTCTAATAACCTCCAGAAAGTTTGGGTATTTCCTTTCCCCACCCACTCTACATAGTCACTCTAGTAAACTGTTTCAGGTCCCTCTGGAGAAAGCTTACGGAGATTCCCATGGAATATAGATGTGGTCAAATTCAGTCTTTTCTTTCAGGAACCTGGTCTCCCCTGAGCTGAGGGTCTCTAGGTCTGGGAACTGGATAAGAAACTGGAATCCCACTAAGGTGACTTGAGTTAGGCTCAGTGAACCTAGAATTTTTTTTTTTTGAGTTTTTATGTCAAGTAGTACCTTAACAAGGTGCCCATCTATTTTTTTTTTCTAGAAACCCATGATTTACTTGTCACCACCATATTACCTGTGTCTTACTATATCCTCCTTGTCTCTGAGAGCTAAGCCCCACAATCTGGCCTCTGTTTCAGAACCTTATTTTTCCCACTGAAAATCCAAAGCAGCAACGTCCATCACCGTATCTGTTCTCTAGAGGATAAAACCATGGAGCTCTTCCTAATGCCTTACTGAAGAAAGTCTTTCTGGGCCCTTCTGGGTGGAGAAGGATGGGAGTGACTCTGGAGTGGTAAACTTAATAGATCCATTATCCTGTGTGTCTCACAGGTATATATTTTTATATAGTACTTGATTAATCTTATTTTTACTTATATCAAGGGATGATGGTTTTCCATTTGCAGAGACAAAAATGAGGTCCTTTTATTTTTTAATATATTTTTATTGATTTCAGAGAGGAAGGGAAAGGGAGAGAGAGAAATATAAATGATGCCCAAGAGACATATGAAAACACGCTCAAAGTCACTAATCATCCCAGAAATGCAAATCAAAATGACAATTTGCATATCCACAAATCAACAAACGACAAGTGCTGGTGAGGATGTGGAGAAAAAGGAACCCTCGTGCACTGCTAGTGGAAATGCATACTGGTGCTGCCACTGTGGAGAACAGCATGGTGTTTCCTCAAAAAACTAAAAAATGGAACTTTCATTTGACCCAGTAATCCCACTTCTAGGAATATATCCCAAGAAACTAGAAACACTAATCAGAAAGGATATATGCATCCCTATGTTCATAGCAGCACAACTTTCAATAACTAAGATTTGAAAACAGCCTAAGAGCCCATCAGCAGATAAGGGGATTATGAAACTCTAGTACATCTACACAATGGAATACTATACTACAGTAAAACAGAAGGAATTCTTACCTTTTGCAACAGC